TGAAATTTTGGCCAAAACTTAAAAGTTGAAATGCCTAATGGCACAAACTAAAAACGGAAGCCTCAAAACCCGAACTGTCTATCTTATTACATCAAAAATGACCTTCCGCATCTAACTGCACTAATGAAATTATCATCTGAGTACGTTTATATAATATATTGCTCGAAGTTAAATTTTGGCCAAAATTTATAAGTTAAATCACCTAATGGGCACACACTAAAAATGAAAGCCTCAAAACCCGAACCAACAATCATATTAGACCAAAAATGAAATTTCAAAGCTAAGCCCACTGACGGATTTCTCATTTGAGCACCTTTAGCAAAAAATTTGATCAAACACAAATTTTGGCCAAAAGTTAAAAGTTAAAATACCTAACGGCACAAACTAAAAATGGAAGCCTCAAAACCACAAACTGAATATCAAAGTCTCAACACTAGACGCTGATTTACCAAAAAATCTAACTTCAATTGGTAAATTTACCAACTATTCAAATATAAGTTAGTAATTAATAATTTACCAATAAATTTTATCACAGTTGGTAATAGTTACTATTCAACTAAACATTCATGTGTAATATTACCAATTACTAATTAATATATTGATAAATTTTACCAATGGATTAATGTTGGTTGGTATATTACCAACTATTTTAATGATGTGAGTAATTTACTAACTACAATCTTTATTCGTCGACAAAATTTCCAACTAATTGGATATTGATTGGCAAGTTTACCAATAAATTACATTTCGTTACTAATTTACCAACACATTTATATTTGATTGGTAAATTTACCAACACAATCTTACCATTGGTAAATGTTTGGTTAGTAATTCATTGGTAATATGTTAATAAATTATATAAACAATTTTTTTGTCATATTTACCAACCGATATATATTTCATTGGTAATATTAACAACAAAAGGTGTGCGTTAGTAATATTTCAGTTGGTAATCCATTGATAGAATGTTGCTAAATTTGACGTCATTTTTTCCCGCCGTATTTACCAACTAAAATACTTAGTTAGTAAGATTTTGGTTGGTAATCTATTAGAATTTCGTTGTTAAGTTTTAAAATATAATTCAGTTAGAAATATGCTGGTAATTTGTTAGTAGAATACTAACCAACTTAAGTTGTTAGTAAAATCTGTTGGCAATTTGAGTTTTTTTTTGTAGTGCATGAAGCTCCTTAGTGGGGCGGATTTTAGGATATTAATACGAATTTTCAAAAATTGTTATGTATTTCAGCTTGTATTGTATTAAAACTTTAATAAATATATAAGAAATATGACTTAGATATTCATTAACGAAGTGTATTAATATCGATTCAATGAGAGAAAAAGAATCTTTTAAATTCATCTTCTCCTTCACTTCGATTTATACAACCTTCTCTATCAACTAATAAATTCGGTAAAAATTTATACAATGGGTATATATCTCACTTGCAGAGTTGCAGTACATGTTGTCGGTTTCATTATTGACTTGATTTCGTAAATGATCACGTAACATTAGGATTGTGAACTATCTTTGTTTAATTAACATAAAATTATTATTATGCATCTATATATTTGTCGTAACTTGAACGATAAAAAAATATTAAACTTTTTCTGAGAATCAGAACAGCTCACTAAATAACTATTTTTTAAAAACTAAAAAGACATTCAATTTAGTTTGTCTAAAATTGTATAAATATCTCTTTATCTCCTCCTAATGACTTCTTGTGATATTTAAACAAAATTGAACGTTTTTCCTTACAAAAGATAGTTTAGTCATTGTCGTGTTTTACTTAGATAAACCTATTTAGCGCCATTAATTAATTATAACAAAGAAAAAAGAACACGCGGACTGATAAGATTAGTTAGTTCAATTCACAGAATTAGTTAATTACTGTTCATTCACATAGTTAGTTAGTTAGTTAGGAGTCACAAGTTTACTCTTTCATAGTTGGTTGAGTTTAATAGAGGATTCTATCGGTGTGTATATACACACACATACATTGTATTGTTTATAGTTAGCTTTTCACATTCTCAATAATATCTTTTCTTTCCTTCTTCTCTGATTGTTGGAGAAAGCTCAACCTCCATTAATGGAGGAAGTACATTGTTTCAGTACAGCTTATGCTGCTAGTTTTGTTATGGTATCAGAGCAGTGAGATTCCTGATCCTCTCTCTCGTCGTGAGCACTGTATTCAATTCAATTTGCAGATATTTTTTTTCCTTGTTGTCTTCTTCTCCTTGATTTTCTCTGAACGATCTCACTATCGTTCCTCTGTTTTTTTATTCGAACTTGCTCATTGTAAGTTCATCTTCATAGTTCATCTGTAATTGCATTCTCCTTCATCTTCTTCTATGGGAGACTTTCCAGGTGACGCGACTGCTACCAACACTCCAACTCGATTGGATTTCAATAGCCCCTTCTATCTGCATCCCTCAGAGAATGCAGGTTCTACTTTACCTCCTGCTGTGTTTGATGGAACTAGCTACAGGTCATGGAGACGAGCAATTCTTAGGGCTTTATCTGTTAAGAGTAAAACTGGATTCATCAATGGGAAAATCGTGAAGCCAAATTCTGCAGATCCAACCTTCATGCAGTGGAAAAGGTGTGATGACATGGTGACCTCTTGGATTTTAAATTCTCCATCACCAGATCTGCGAGATGGCTTGCAATACGTCAACAATGCCAATGAACTTTGGGATGAGTTGGAAGATAGATATGACCAAACTAATGGTTGCAAACTCTATCAACTACAGAAGGAGATAAATGACCTTGTGCAAGGTAATTTGGATGTCACTGGTTACTATACTAAGATGAAGAAGTTGTGGGAAGAAATGAACACTCTTGATGTCAATTCTCAGTGCACTTGTGTGTGTATTTGTGGTGGAAAAACCAAGATGCATAAGGCTGAGTAAGATAGAAGACTTATACATTTTTTGATGGGCCTAAATGAGATGTATACTATTGTACGTGGAAACATCCTCATGATGCCTGATCTACCAACTATGGCACAAACATTTGCCATTTTGTCACAGGAGGAAAGGCAGAGGGAAATGAAGCCTCTAAATCACATGGCCTTGGAATCCACCTCGCTAAATGCCTCTGTGTCACCACAATACAATGCAAGACCCAAAGGCTGCAATACGAACTACAATGCAAACTACAATTCTTATAGATGAGGTGCATGCAGAGGTGCAAACAGTTATAATACTTTTAGGGGAAATTCCAGCACTGGAAACAGGTCAAATTTGTTCTGTGAGTACTGTAAACGAACTGGACACACTAAGGATAGGTGCTATAAGATTCATAGTTATCCAACCAAGACGCGGACACAGGACCTAGGACCACAAGTGATCCCAAGCTAACCCTACTGCCATGATCATGAGCATACTAAAATATAATCTGAATAATAGAAACTGTGTGGAAGCTAAAATCATAAATAAGATGAAAAGATGGGAATACCCATATACTATAACTAAGATGAATAAAAACTGATGAGTTTAATACAAAGAAAATATTAACTCAATACTAAGCTGAATCTAACTATGCCTGAAAAAATCCTCTAAACTGACTAGAAATGTTGGGACATCCCCCAACTAGGTCTAGCAAAACTGAAACTAAAGACTAAAAGCGATAAAGATAAACATGTCACTAGTCCTCGAAAAATGAGGACTCACCACTGATGCTGCTAAACTGAAGATCGGGAATTGATCTAAGAGTGATCTGGATACTGAGAACCTGAACCTACATCACGAGAAGATGTAGCGCACGTATGCGTCAGTACTTGAAAGGTACTGAACATGCAGGATAGAGTAAAGCTGAAATAACATATAACTGAACAAAACAATAAAACAATGATATAATCTGAACATGATATATATACTGAATGCTGAG